TTTTTTTTTTTTTTTTTTTTTTGTGTGTTGCTTACCTTCCCCCCTACGCACTTGAGTCGACGAACCGCAGTTCGGTGGACGCAAGAATTTTCCCGGCCCACCCTGCTAAACCCATGTTTAGGATCCCCCCGTTTTTTATATTTTTGTCGGTTTGCCACTTCAAGGGCGTGCGGTGCCCCACCCCCACCCGAAACCCGTTGTCCTCTTCCGAAACCCCCTCCCATTTCGACCGCGGCCGCGGCCGAAAATTCTCGATCGGAGCGGCCGCGGCCGGGGGGGTCCCGGCCGTGGCCGTGGCCGAATTCAGCCTTGGCCATGGGGGAACATAGCTGGCCGGGGACCGATGGGCTGCATATGGCCAGATCGATTGTGAGCGATCGGGATCCGCGCTTCATAAGTACTGAATGAAAGGACTTCACGTCTCAACTGGGGATCAAGCTGTGTATGACAACTGGCTGACACCCCGAAGCCAACAGTTTGGCTGAGGAGATCAACCAGACTGTGTTTCAACTTCTTGGCGCTTTGATTATTCCGGATCAGGAAACATGGGATGAAGAGTTGTATTCCGTTAAGGGGTTATACAACAACTCCGTCCACTCCACCACCGACATGACACCCAACAGGCTGCATTACGGTTGGCAGATCCAGAATCTGCTCTCTAACCTATACCCTGAGCAGCCAGCTGGTTTAACACCCGGCAGACCTGGCTTCAGGGCCAAGTATGATCGCTTGCTCAAAGTTGCTATGCAGTTATGACCAAGCGGCAACACGCCATGATCCATAATGCGAACAAGAAGCGTCAACCATCAGATATTCAGGTAGGAAGCTATGTCTGGGTCAAGTTGTCTGAATTCTCAGAAGAAGAGGGAGTCTCACACAAACTGCTCCCACTCTATTATGGGCCCTGGGAAGTTTTGGATGTGATTGGTGAAGATCACTTTGACCCCTCGTACGTCGTTGATGTGCCAACCCATATGCGCACATACCCTGTGTTCCACGCAT